GTGTGTGTGTCTGTGTGTGCGTGTGTGTGTGTGTGCGTGTGTGTGTGTGTGTGTCTGTGTGTGTGTGTGTGTGTATACACACTGCACACTCGAATGAACTGACCCAAACAGGAACCTACAGTTCTAGTTCTAGGTCATTTCCACCTTCCAATTTGGCTAATTAGCTAGCTTTAATGCTAGTTTTCGTTAGCTAAACGTATTGCTAATATGAAACGTGGCTTTACACAGAAAGTCCATATTTTTCTGTATTGTGTGTGAAAATATGAGCAACACTAGTTTTGTGGAGGCTAGCAGAAATGCTAATAGTGTTAGCTTCTTAACTAGCTTGTGTCACCTTAGCGCACATGTTACAAAGTAATATATTTAAAAACATATCAGTGGACATGTCAACATAATGTAGTTTACATTCTGGTGCACGTGATGATGATGATGATGCAAACAGTGCTTGGTGACTTAATCTTCATCTGGAAAAGTGAATTAAGTGGTAAAGAATTAAGTGATTTATTGGCACAGACTTCTTTGGAGTACCATTAGGTTCTTTTGGTACCAATCTTGAGCACCTGAATCATTTTTGGAATAAAATTTATGTAATCAACCTCCTCTTATAAACACAGAATAAAGGACATTAAGTAATATTGAATAATAAAGCTTATGGCATCCTGAGGTCTAGAACCTCATTAATGCATGTGCAAAAATAGTTACAAAAAATATTTTTTTTAAATAAATGCAATGCAGAGATGAACGACAATTAAATAGAAAATTAAAGTCAAAATAATATTAGTGCATCTTTTTTTCCTGCTATACTAGCTGTGTAATCTGTATCTTCCCTGTAATTCTGTATTTACTATTTTTGTTTTTTTTGTTTGTTTGTTTTGTTTTCACTCCTGCTGTTCTGTCACCTCTGGTTTGTTTTTCTTTTACATTCAAAGAGTACAACAATAACAACAAACACATAAAGATGCAGTTCCCACAGTGTCCACAAGAGCCAAAGCACACCCTGCTGTATCGTCACATTTCTAACTACAACCTCCAGTCTGCACATAATGTGGTCATGAGATTAGTATGATTATTGATTATTAGCAGACATTAGCATCACTTTGATTAACTGATTAGCTGAACTCAATTGTCAACACCGTGTCCTGCTAATGCTAATACTAATGCATTTGGCTGCTCCACTAATACAGAGTGCAGTCTTGCATTCAGGTGCAGTTCCCCCAGTGTCCACATGATGGCACTTCATTACACTATCTTTCGTTTAGGGCCTTCTAACCACAAAGTCCAGGGCTCTGATAAACTCCTCAGGTATTAGATTAACATGGTTATTGTTTATTTATTGGTTCATTATTCATTAATGATTAATAGTTCACTATAATAATCCCCTTAGTGCTAAGCAGAAGTATAGATTTTCTGATAGGAAATTCCTCATATAACTCTCACTGGCCACTTTAGCTTTATTTATTTTATAGATCCACGATATGTAGGTGTACAGTTACAGAGAGTAGACTGTGTGTCTGGTACAGAGAAGCTGGTAGATACAGTCTAATTAGAACACTAAAAAGATGTTGAGTTTGTGTACTTTCACAAAATGAGGATTGAAGCTAAAAGTAAAATGTTATATTCCTTTATAATCTTATGTTCCCAAAACCCTATATTTCAAGGACCCTATATTCTCAGGACGCTATATTTCCAAGATCCTATATTCTTAACTCTCTATATTTAAAGGTCACTCTATTTACAAAACTATTTGTTCCCAAGACGCTACGTTTCCAGGGCCCCATGTTCCCAATACGTTTAGTTCCCAGGCCCCCATATTTCCAAGACCTTATATTCCCGGGGTCCTATATTTCCAAAGCCCCATATTGTTAAGACCTTATGTTCCCACGGCCCTATATTTGAAAGACCTTATGTTCCCACGGCCCTATATTTGAAAGACCTTATGTTCCCAGGGTGCTATATTTCCAAAGCCCTGTTGTCCAGGACATTATGTTTTCAGGGTCCTATATTTCCAAAGCCCTATTTATTGTCCAGGACCTTATGTTCCCAGGGCCCTATGTTTCCAAGTCCTTATGTTCCCAGGGCCCTATATTTCCAAAGCTCTATTTTTCCAGACCTAGTGTTCCCAGGGTCCTATGTTTCCAAGTCTTTATGTTCCCAGGGCCCTATATTTCCAAAGCTCTATTTTTTCCTGGACCTAATGTTCCCAGGGCCCTGTATGTCCAAAGTCCTATATTTCCAAGACTCGATGTTTTTAGGGTCCTATATTTTCAAGGCCCTATATAGGGAATACAGGGAGCGCAGGAACAGACCAGAGGTCACTGAAATATAGTTGAATTACAGTAAAAAAGCCACTGGCATAATGAGTCTCACTGTAGATTGTAAATGAGAAAACCAAGTGGTCCTCTGTGGTCAGCAGACCCATAAAAATGGTCAGTGAGGCCGTGGGAGCCCCACACTCCACTGATCCTGCCTCATTGTTTCCGTTCTTTTCCCGCCTCTGCAGACTCCGTGATGAAGTCCTGCTCCTACAAGTCTTTCTGTGAGAAGTCCCACATGAGTGTCGGGGGAGTGAAGCTGGAGTGCTGTTTCACTGATGACTGTAACGGGCCACACCACTCACACAGTCATGGAGAACACCACAACGCTGCGGCGGCACTGAGCTACAGCACCACTCTGCTGCTGGGAGCACTGCTGCTTAAAGCGCTCTAACCTCACACCTGCTCCACTACACGTACCACAAGGGACAGATTTAACCCCTTAAACTCTTAAAGGGCCCACAGCATCAAAAACTAAAGTCCTGATAGAGCTCAATACATAAACATTATTAAAGTTTTGAAACATGCCGCTCACTCCCCAATCCATGCAGGCTATAGAACAGAACAAAGCTGCACAAACAGCCTGTTTTGAACTCATGGTTATGATCTCACACTGCCCATTCAGCCTACAGCAGTTTAGCCCCGTCCACTCTGGTTAAAGTGATGCCGAGTGTTGTTCCTGCAGATGGTCTATAGCAGAGTTATTAGACTGCGAGATGTTGGAAAACATTAAACATTGTGCTGTTCCTGGCTGTCAGGAAGCAAATAAATCACTGCTTGCTAAACAAGGCACAATACAGGGCAGCTAATCAGTACAGAGCTCATTTACATATATTAGACTTTAAGGCACAGCAAAGGGATAAAGAGAGGCTGTAAAATGTTTATGCAGGAATGCACACGTCAGCTGAACCTACGGAGAATAATGAAATGTAAGGAAAATGTAGAATATGGGCCCTTTAAGATCTTTCGTATATCAATATGATAAAGGCTTATTATTCAAGTTAAACAATACAAAATAATGGAGGTTCTGAGATTTTAAGGGGTTAAACACTAGGCTCATTATTCACAATATATTAATATTAATTTATTATTAATTAATTATTTAAAAATTACTATACATTATTCAGTAACTACTACAAAACTAATGTGTAATGTAGTGAGAGTGATGCATTGTTTACAGTAAATGCTAGATGAGCTTTTTGCCATGTGACAACGCGCTTCTGTATCTTCAGGAGGGTTAACCAAGTATTAGAGTCTGTTCTGGCTTTGTGCTGTAAATGGGCTCAAATCAGCAACTGCTAAATAAAGTACATGACTTTCTATTGTTTGTCTGTCTGCCTGTCTGTCTGAGTGGAGTGTACAGCATTGCTGACATCACTAGAGCTTTAATAGCATTGTCTCTGTTGTTAGCTGTGCAGTAACCACTTCTGTAGATAGCACTACTTTAAAGGGGAATTCCACTGACTATTAAAAATGTGTGCAAAATTAATGGTTAAGATGTAAACAGAGTAATTTAGAGTGGTGTGGTGTGAAACGCTTAATTCTAGAGAAACTTACTGAGTCAGAATTGTTCACAGTGGTGGTGATAGGAACCAGACGTCCACCTCTAAAAGTTCCCTCACAGAGAGTTATCACATGAACTGGTTATGAATTCACTGCCTGATGTCAGAGACACTGTTTTATGATAGATTTAAGAACCTAAAATCCATTCATGGTGAAGGGATACATGCAGGCTGCTGTGAGGCAAAATAGTCCCCAAAGAAAACGTATTATCTCAGATTGTCCACTATTTTCCCATCATCAACATTCCATCAACATGTCCAGACGTCCAGCTCTAAAAGCTCCTGGATATTTGCCTTCCTAAAGAGTTCACTTCCAACCCTGACTGAACACACCTTACCCAGATCATCAGTCCACTCAAAAAGTTGGATCAGGTGTGGACTGGAGATGAATTCTGCAGGGTTGCTGACCACTGCTCTAAAATATATTTTTAAAGTCTGATCATGGTGGAGGGATACATGTGAGGCAAAATATTCCCCAAAGAAAACTTAGTATCTCAGATTTTTCACTATTTTTCCTTCATCAACATTCCATATAAAACTCAGAAGACACATGTAGGTGCACTGGTGGTTTTGGATAGTAAATAAAAGTATTTTTGCACGGACTTCTGGTTCCTGAGTTGGTAAGTTTCTCTAGAACATGAAGCATTTCACACCAAAACACTCTGAATGAGTCTGTTCATTTCTCAACCACTGAATTATGCAGAAAATGTGAAAAATTGGTGGAACTTCCCTTTAATAGTCACTGGGTGGACTCCATCCAGCCTTAACTCATTAGCTAACGGGCATAGTGCTCCTGAGTTATTACAGCAGGCAAAACACTAAACCAGTGTTTTTTAGCTTCAGTCCTGACTGGCCAGAAATTTTGAAAATTGGTGGAATTGCCCTTTAACTGTGTGAGTATACTTAGTTAAACTAAAGTGTGGAGTGTAGTGGTTTTAGCTAGACTAACACCCAGTGCTAATCAACTCATCGACGATTTCTGACGTCATTAATGTCTCCTGGCTGTTGTAAGGCGGTTTCCTGTGAGCTGGCGCGTATCTGGGGTGGGGGTGTGCTGGGGGGCTGCAGGGGCGGGCAGGGGAGGGGAGGGAGGGGTGTTAAAAGAGGAGGAACAGCAGAGCAACTTACATTCATTAGAACTGCAGCTCCAGCTTACAGCAACTGCAGCTCCAGCAGCTTTACAGTAAGTGTGATTCTGCTCCTCCTCTGCTCCACTGTCTCTCAGTGTTAGTGTTTGTTGGGTAAACTCTTTGTTGGGCTTCAGATGTTGGACTGTATTTATATAGGTGCTCTTGCATACTGCAAAAATCTCAGTATCAGTTCACAGAACCGCATTAGAGGGGAGAATCAGCCCACTTTAAGAGCTGACAGACAGTGTGGACTCTCCTGCTGAGATCCTCCTCATTAGTTTGGTCACTTTATAACTCTGGTGGTCTGTCTGTAGCTCTGTCTTGTTCAGAGGTGTAACTGCAGCAGTAGAACATAACACTGAGCTTCAGAGTGAAGCTCGTAGCTGTAATCTCTAATAAAACGAGAGAAGGTTTGCTCACAGTGGGGTTCCTCACTCCTGTGGTCTTAGCATCAGTCACACACACCTTATGTCCCCTTTGGACTGCATTAGATAATCTGTTCAGCACTGAGTGTGTTTGTAAGTCTGAGTATGCAGAAGTTTGAACAGGTCACTTTGAACAACACGTTTTGGTGATTTTCTAAGTGAAAACAAGAGCACCTCCTCTATAGGGAACTCAAAGGGGAATTCCACCATTTTTTCGAAATTTCTGCATGATTAACTCTTTAAGATATGTAACATTATTATGTTTAATGGTTATGAAAACTTTGCCTGATGCACGAGAAGATGGTTCTTCAAGGGTTCCTTAGTAAAGACAAATGTTCTATATAGAAACATTAACACTCCAAGAATCCTTTTCCTGCTTAAATGGTTCTTTGCATAGTGAAATTGTTCTTCAGAGTGATGGGGAATGTGCTGTATATGGTTCTATATCTTATTGAAAATGGCTCTATATAGCACCAAAAAGGGTTCTTCTATTGTTATAAGGCTGAATAATGCAGAAATTTGGAAAAATCAGTGGGATTCCCCTTCAAATTTGAAATTCATTTACATTTAACTGTATATAAGCATTTAATCTGAGGTCTTTATTCTGTTCTTTACTATTATTACTAATATGTGCACCAACCTCAGTGACAGTAAAAGTCTATTCTATTCTATTCTATTCTATTCTATTCTGTTCTACTCTATTCTCAGCTCACTGACTGTGCAGTCTAAATGCAGAGTTCATATTCTGGAATAAGTGCTGTAGGATTAGTGATGTAAGTGAGAGTATTAGTGAATGTGCTGAATGACCTCAGAGTAGAGGAATGCTGGTAGACTATAGGGATATAGACTCAGGCTCTTACCTGTGCACAGGTATTGCGTTACATGAACATGTGAGTGTGTCACTGAGTTCATGCTGCACTTTGAAAATCCCTAGAGGCTGGCTGATTAGGAGCAGCTCTACATCTCTAAAAAACTGTAAAAGTACACAGTGTTTGGATAGCAGACATAAATTCTGAATTATTTGTGATTCCCACAGATGGTCAAGCATGCAGAAAAATATTCAAGTATAAAAATAAAAGGATTGTCTTAGAGTGTAGTACACACTACACATTTGATAGTAGTAAGATAATACAGATACAACCCCTTAAACTCCAGAAAAACTTTTTTTGTAAATATAAGCTTCCAAATTTGATGGCTGCAACACATTCCAAAAAGGAGCATGTTTACCCCTGTGTTACACCACCTTTCTCTTTAACAACACTTAATAATCGTTTAGGGACACAAACTGGTTCAGTTTTAAAAGTGGAGTTTTTGACATTCTTCTGTTATACAAGTCTTCATCTGTGCAGCCATACGGGGCCTTCATTGTCATGTTTTGAGCTTAATAAGATGCACATTTTCAATGGACGACAGTTCTGGACTGCAGGCAGGTCAGTCTAGCACTCTCTGTTTACTCATCCATGCTCCTCTAACACGTGCAGAATGTTTCTTATTGTTGTCATGTTGAAATAAGCATAGATGTCCCTGAAAAAGATGGCATCTAGAAGGCAGCATATGTTCAGTGTTTATGGTGCTACCACAGATGTGCAGGTTATCCACTATTACACCCCCACACCATGACAGATGCTGGATTTAGAAATTCACGCTGGTAACAGTCTAGATGGTCCTTTTCATAAACAGTCTGAAAGTTTGACTCGTCAGACCACAATACACATTTCCACTAAAGATTAGTCTACTTCAGATGAGCTCGAGCCCAGAGGAGTCGGCGACGTTTCTGGCTGTTGTTCATGTGACTTCTCCTGTGCAGAGTTCAGTCTTAACCTGCATTTGTGGATGCAGCAATGCACATTGTTTGCTGATAAGGATTTGTCAAAGTATTCCTGAGTTCTTGTGGTGATATCTATCACAGAATCATGTTGGTTTTTTAAGCAGTGGTCATGAACATTCCGTCATGGTTTTCGGCCTTTTCTTTTATGCGCAGAAATTTCTCCAGATTTCCTAAATCGTTTGATGACATTATGCACTGAAGAGAGTGAAATACCTAGAAACATTGCGATCACTCACTAAGGAACGTTGTTTTTAAACTGTTACATTTTTGGTGATGCTTTTTTGCCAAAGGTGGCGCACCTCGACCCATCCTCGCTCAGAAAAAGACTCGGCCTTTCCTGACTGCTTCTTTTAAGCATGATTACATCACTTCTTTTAAAATGTTTTCTTAACTTTCACCAACATTCCTAGTCTTAAATTGCCCCTGTCCTAACTTTTTTGGAGCGTGTTGCAGGCATCAGTTTCAGAATGAGTGTATATTTACAAAACACAGTAAAGTTAATGAGATAAAACATTACATATCTTGTTTTTTAACTGCTTTCATTTAAACGCAGATCACAGATTTACTGCTTTCGGTTTTTATTTGCCCCCTACTTTTCTGTAAATGGGTTTGTAGTTACTGAGTTATAGAGGGTACACGCTTTAAAAAGATGATTCTTTAAGGGTTTTTTAGTAAAGACAATGGTTTCATATAGAACCATGGACACTCAAAGAACCAATTGCATGCTTAATTGGTTCTTTGCATGGTGAAATGGTTCTTCAGATCGATGGAGAATCTGTTATTTATGGTTGTAAGTGCCACCAAAAAGCGTTCTGCTACTCATACCATGTCAAATTGGTATACAATAACAGAACCTTTTTTGGTGCTATATAGAACCATTTTCAAAAAGGTTCCATATAGAACCGTATACAACACATTCTCCAGCAATCTAAAGAACCATTTTACCATGCAAAGATCTATTTAAGGAAAGAACGTGAAGTATTGAATTATTGAATCATTCATAGTAGATTCTGAATATCAAGTCTTAAGATTAATAATTGAAGAACTCTGTAGTTTAACCAGTTTTCAACTAAGTCTTTTGCTGCATATTTGCTGTCCAGCAGTGCATGTTCATCAGCAGAGTTGAAGTGTTGCCTTTAGGGCTATAAAGAGGCCTAGGAATGATCAGTGGTCAAACAAAGGGCCAGTGGATTCCTTTCTGAACTCTTGGTGAAGTACTGCAGTTGTGGCTAAGTTAGAACAGCTTCAGTGTGTATTTATATTACACCAGCACAATATGTACAAAACACTGATATTTTGATTATGCTGCTGCATATTGCAGTTGCAGTGTGCTTTGCAATATATATTAAAAATGCAATCAGTGAATCAGTAATGTGATTAAAGAACAGTGTGCAGTATTTGCTGATTAGTCAGAATGCTTACAGTAAAAACACTCTGATTGGTTAGAGGGCTCATTTGCATATTAAAACATTTTGCTATATCAGTATTGCAGATGCTAATATTATAAGTAGTATAGTGTTTTTACTGAAGAAAATGCATAGCGATTGTGCAGCTTAAAGTAAAGTAAAATAAGCATAAACTTTAACCCAAGTGGTTGCTAAGATGTTGCTATGGTGTTCCGGGTGGTTGCTATGGTGTTGCTATGGTATTCCAGTCCTAAACACCAATATATTGTGCAGCCCTAGTGCTCTTTAAAACATTTAGGAGACCATACTGCAGTTTTCATCTTCTCTTATTAGTGTTTTCCTCTTCAGAAGAAATTCTGTAAGCGTTATTTAATGGTTTTGAGTGTAAGACTGGCCAAATGGCCAAATATTGTGGTTCTTCATGAGCTGTTAAAAAGCCTGAATATGATATTTGTTCATATATAATAACAGCTGGTGTTTCCAACCTAAGATATGCCGTGGCACAAAATATTCAGTTCTACAGCCATATTTGAGCCGCACTGTTTTTCCACACGTCCTTCCATATGCATATGTGTTTGATCAGCGGCTGTATCAGTAATTTTTGGAGAAGTCAGTCTGCTGTTTCAGCATGTTATGTCTGTCCTGCAGCAACAGGGCACTGAGGGAAAGTTCAGTCTGCTGATTATGGGCTGTAAGGCTCTAAAGCCCCACCAGTGACACTTTGATGGGCTGTCTGAAGTTAAAAGGCTGAAAAAGTCAATGCCCCAGTCATCTGCCCCCAGACACTGAGGCCAGAGAGAGAGGAGACTCAGGAAGATCCTGTACAGTCCTAAAAGTAAAGGTTGCTAAATGGTTCTTAGCTTGGGCGTATGGTTCTAGGAAAAACTTTTGACTGGTACAGAACCTTTACGTTATGTAGAGGTTCTTTAAACTTTAAAAAATTGCTTTTTTAAAGATGTGTACAGGGAAATATCAGATATATTGGGAATGATGGTACTTTTACTACAATACAAGTTCAGTTTGGTGTAATTGGAGTGCAGCGGTACTCTAAAGTGGGGTTCTCTTCTGCACCCTGCCAAGCACACCAGATCAAAACTTTGTATCCCCAAAGTAGGGGTGCACCAATATGGTGATTCTGGGCTGATGCTCATATCCGACATTTCCTTGAGCAAATCTACTAATGCAGATGATGATGAGTGCTGATAATATTCATGATATGCTCAGAAAATAAATTTGTTTTCACAACAAGGCTGGACAATATGACAATATATGATAATATATTTTGTTATCGTGATAAATTATGCCACAATACAGTATGCTTTTCTGAACATATTGTGCATGTTGTCAGTACCTGATGATATGACCAACTGCATGTTTCATTATAAAGAGAGAAAAATTAAAAATCATTATATTCACAGTTTTTGATGTTTTTTATGTTTTAAAATGTAGCACTACTGTTTCTGTTTTCTCTGTTCCAACTGGTCAGATTAAAAAAATAATTACAACATGTCATGTATCAAACATTTCTAGAGTATCATGATATTATATTTTTATCACCCACCTCTATTTCACAATAACAAGATGTATAAAATACTGTAATGTTGGCCATCTCTGCTCACAGGACACAAAATATCCAGTGATTTAATATTCAGGTTCACATTGAAGCTAAAATGCCAATAACAATAAACAAACAATGTACTGTGCAGCCCTATATGAGTCTATATGAGTCATATGTACATGTATGCTCTGTATGTGCTGTTTCTGCAGGTCCTTTCTCCAGTGAGGTGTGGGTGTCACCATGGCGATGCTGTCCTGCTCTCTGCTGGCTGTGGTGGTTGTACTGGCCGTGTCTTTGGTCCAGTCGGACCCAGGGCCGGTTCGGATCCAGCTGCGGCTGGCTGGAGAGAAGCGCAAACACTACGAGGGCCGTGTGGAAGTGTACTATAACAACGAGTGGGGAACCGTATGTGATGACGACTTTGACATGTCCGCCGCTCACGTGGTGTGCAGGGAGCTGGGATACATGGGAGCTGTGTCCTGGTCTCCGTCCAGCAAATATGGCAAAGGAGAAGGTGGGTGGGAAAACGTGACCTCTGACCTTTGCTGGGATTCTCCACTTTGTAAAGGAAAGAAGAAATCAGTCATAACAAATGTAGTGGATCTGCTGAGACGTGTTCGGTGTCTGAGGTTTCCTTTTTTAGTTTTAGCACTAAAGCTACGAGGTTAACGCAGCCACAAACTTAGTAGACTCACCAGTTAGCATGGTGCTAAGCCTACATCATCACACATTTACCTCAAACCGGGATCACTAATCAGGAGAATAAAAACAGGCTAGAATATGGTGAGCGTGCGCTGCTGTGAGTCGCCCTGTAAAGCCTAAAATCATCATTTAAAAGTCAGAGGTGTCAAGTTTTTCACACCACGTCGTACGTCTTTACATATTAACGTCTCACACAAAAAAGAAGGTCCGGCTTGATGTTTAGGTCTCAAATGATCTCAAAATCAACATTATACAGATGAAGATAAGATGACAATAGTAGATAATTCACTCACATCCTCAGAAGACGCCTCCTTCACCAAATTTTGACTTTGAAGTTCTCTTTGAATTTTCTTTTAATCTTCAGATTAATTGCTTGGGAAGTAGGTCTGGAACACAACCCACACTACAAAGTGTTCTTCCATGCGCTGTGTGCAATTACACATTTCCACCAGAGAGGTCTCCGAAGCCCCAGATCTTACATAGTGCAGCTTTAAGTAATCTGTAATAGATACATAAAATATGGCACATAAAAATGGACTAAAGCACATTGGCATAGCTAAAAGCAGTAGCAACAGACGTCTTTAAGCCTGAATTATGTCATTTTTTGCATAGACACAATAGGCAAGTCTGTCTGACCTTTTTCTCTTGTTAGTTCATTGTATATCACGGTATAAAAGATGCTTCTGTGCGAGCATGTGCACACAGTGATCGCTATGGAATCAATTTTAATTGATCTGTTTAATCAGATTAACAATAAAAGGCCACTGATGTGTGAAGTATATTTATGTTCATTGTTTGTTTTTGTGTCAAGGTTAAAATTCAAGACTTGTTTTCTTGTTTTCTGATAATCTTCCAATAAAATGTAGTGACTTTTGCCCCACCTCCATAACGTCTTTTCTAGGCGGGGCAAAATAACATAAAACAATAATATCAGTTTCACCTTCCCCTCCCAACTTCCCTATAAGTGGTGAAATCCACTAAAACGTGAAAAATAAATGCATGAAAAATGCAGATAAATTGAAATTTTGAGTTATACATATTTGGTTTGATCAAAGCAGCTGTTATTTGACTAAAACAGTGCTGATTTAATAAAATATGAATATTTTTTACTCATGACTGTTTTTTGTATAAGAGTGATAATAACAAATTGTTCCTGATAAAAAGTAAGATGATGAAAATACATGTAAATTGAAAACTAAAGTGGTATTTTGTCAAATGATTTAATAAAAATGATTTATTCTTTGAGTCATTTTTAGTGTCTTGGAGCATTTAACTCGCTTCATTTATCTTTTAACATAAGTCATTTATGGTACTTGGTTCATTCATCATAATGAAAGGAATAGTTATAATTTCTCATTCAAGTTGACTTTCAACCATGAAGCAATCTTTGTGTGTCTGTCTCAGTCGGACTTTGTTATTATTAGAGAGCCTTCCAGAAAGCTGAAGTTGCAGCAATTCCTGCCTGAAGTTTTTTCTTGTCAGAGCTAATTTAAGTCTACATGTGATAAACTGGTAAACTGGAGATGTTTTGCAGCTGATACTTTCATCCACTGTAGCAGAACATGTGCCCCCATTACTAACAGTTTCCTCTGTTGGATGGAAATTCTTCTCAGAGCAGATATGTTCTCCTCACTGTCTGTTTGTAATCCCTGGAAAGTCGTGTTTTAGTCATTAAAGGGGTAAATTATAATCAGACGGCACTTTCGGTTTAGAATGGAAACTGGATTTATAGACTCAGACACATGGCCTCAGCCTGCTGTGTGCGGCTGCTTAACATCATGACCAGGTAATGCGATAGGTCTGTCACTCGAAATGAACGCCTGATCCACTCCTTCTTTCCACTTCTGTTATCCTCGCTTCTGTCCATCAAACAGGTTCAGCCCGACTGCTTTTGTACTTGTAGTAGTAGAACGCTGCAGGTGGTGCATTTTGGAGAACATCATCACAGCTGTCACTTGGTTGCAGTAGATCATCGTCAGCTGTGATTTTATTCACCACAACACACCACTTCCAGTGTTCTACTCTAAAGAAAAGGTAAAGAAGCCCTGAGCATTGTTCTTGTTTCTAATATGTTTTTACACTGCAAAAAATAGTATCTTGTCAAGTGACATTGCTTAGCAACCAGTGGTCAGTGGAATGGTAGAGGTATGGTGAAAAACTTGCTTTTCATGCTGCTCTCACGTTGGTTAGGACTTCAGGATCTGCACTGAAGACCTTACATATTAGATTAACTACTAACATAATAAGGAAATGACAGATGAATCAATCAGTCATGTTCTTACTTACAATGACACCAATTTTGTCACTCTAGGCCTACTGAAGGTTCTAGATACGTCACTGACTGTAAATGCAAGTAGTCTAAGCAGGTTTGGGTTAGTTGTTAGGAATGTAAAACAGTGACAGCAGCTCTATGCCAGGACTCTTTACTGAAAGAGTAACTAAAAATGATACATACAAGCATGTTAATGTCTGTTACAAGCTTCAGATAAAACATTTGAAATGTCTTTTACAAGCTCCAAATGTTCATATTTTTTCCAGAATGACCAAAACATGTACACCAGTTTTAGCTTAGTGCTACCTTACTATTGGAAACCACATAGTGGCTCTAGCAGAAATTAGCATTATGATAGAGGTTCATTTTCTAATCACATTTTAAAATTTATGGCCTGAAATGAAGGCCTAACTCAGTCAATGTTCACCACTGGGTAAAAGCTTTTATTACTTGTTAGCTATATTAGTTAAAACTAAAGAAGCCATATGGCTTAGGGAAGTAGAAAATTGTGTAATTTTTTTTTATAACTTCTGTAACCTGACTACTACTTTAAGTTCAGAAGTGATTAGATGTGTTGTGATGTTTCTGCTCCTGCAGGTCGGATCTGGTTGGATAACGTCCACTGCACAGGCAGAGAGACATCTTTAGCCGACTGTCCGTCAAACGGCTTCGGCGTCTCAGACTGCAGACACACTGAGGATGTGGGCGTGCTCTGCACTCAGAAACGCATCCCGGGCTTTCAGTTCATCAGCACCTCCAGCAATGATGTGCAAGTAAGATACACAAACACACAGACGACACTCTGCTTGTCTGCCTATACAGTGTATATATGCAGACTAAGCCACAAAAACAGTCTGTTCTGAATTCCTCATTTTTGTGGTCACAAAAACCAACACAGTAGTTTATAGTTTACAGTTCAGCCCCACCTGCTCACACTGAAGTTGTAAGAACAATGAGATGCAATACAGTGCAGCCAATCAGAACAGAGCTCATTTACATATATCAGTCTTAAAGATGCATAAAACAGTGATGAGCCATGCTGGTCTATGCTGTTTTTTCTAGCAGGGAAACGACACAAAATAGGAAAGAAATAGACCAAAATAAGTAATAAATAATTATATGGACTTTATTTATGAGAAAAAAATCTTTAGTGATCATAAAGCAGCTAATGTTTTGTGTATATTTATCTTCGACACTCAGCTTCATGTTCATCAAAATATCTTCTCGATGTGAAGAACAGGTTTTGTCCAAATAATGATTTGTCACTTATTCCCAAAACTGTTGTTAAAAGCACATATTGAAGGTCATTTAAATGCGTTCGGGCCCACATACAGACGCTTAGAGTTTAAGGATCTAAACACTGTGCTTTACGAATAAGTTTGATTGGAATTGAATCTACCAACTTGCATGTACACATGCCTGCACCCACTCACAGTTTAAATCAGTTCAGATTTCTGCTGTTTTGTTGTAGATTGTGTAATACTGTGGCATGTGTACTTCTAGCCCTTCTGTTCCTGGAGCTAAAATGGAAAGAACAGCAAGAACATGAGTCTAAGGGGATGAATTCCCTCTGGCAACCAGAAGAACAAATAACTGTCGTGCAAATCACATCTGAAATCACTAAGCCAGGCCATTACAACTTTCTCAACAGTCAGACTTTGTGCCACGCCTTAAGAAGATCTATAGTTTCTATTAACTCTCTGGTGGTGTGATAGTGTAGCTTTGTGGTTGTGCATCTGGTTCTGATGGAGAGTCTGATGAGTCACGGGTCCACAGTTTTTTCCTCGCTGTTTTAGTAAAACTCCTTCTTACTCCAAATGTAGTCGATCAGCCAGGACATGTTTGGTGCCTGAAGTTTGCTTCTTTTGTTTTAGCACTGGAGATATGAGGCTAATGTAGCTAGCATGTATAATTAGCACCTATTAGCGAGGTGCTAACTGTGTACCCATCATCACACATCATCAAACTGTAGACTTTATTATGTGGTTTCTGACACTGTATGACTCACTGTTATTTATAAACAAGTACATTAGCATAGCTAAAAACACTAGCAGCCATCTTGAATCCATTACTTGTTAGCGATATTAGCCTCGTTACATGAGCGCAAACATACTATGCAAAAAGTATAGACAAAATTCAGGCTTCAGGATGGTTACTATAGGACTAGTTTCAGTTTTGCTAATATACTTTATATACCTTAGTCCATACTTTAAACTCCACACAGTTTGAGACAAGTGTGTGGTGATTTAGCATGCGGTTAGCACCATGCTAACTGGCCCTAATATAGTGTTCCATTCGTAGTTAGCTACATTAGCATTGTATGTCTTTATCTTATGCCTCAGTTAATCTACATAGGACTGAATACGTTATTTTCTTACAGCTTTATGTGTTTTACACAATAGCAGAGCAAATAGTAGGCTGAAACATTTATCTGCAGCACCTAAGTTTAATCTATGTTAATGTATTACTCAGTTGTGAAGAAAAATGTGAAAACAAACGAAATAAATTAGATATAAAACAGGCAAACAATTAGCTACATATTTGTACACTACCCAAAGCTACAGTGACAAAAGAAGCACTTCAGACCCCATATGTCTTGGATGATAGACTATATTTGTGGTAAGGAGGATAAAACTGTGCAAATATAATTTTTCACCCAAACTGTGATTTCAAGAAGGCCCCAAGGTTTCATGGCTTTGCATCCATATGGTTCTGATGGAGGATCTGATGAGTCAGGGCTTTATCTTACCCACGCTGTCTTCAAAGGCAGGGTCCAGTCAGTACAGGAGGAATGACCTCATGTCTGTAATGATTCAGGGAGGGCTTTTCTATGGAAATGTGAAGCTCACGTGTTCTGCCTCGTGTTCAGCATCATGAGCGATAACAAAATCATGCTGTGATTTTTTACAAATTATTTCTGACTCATAGCTCATTGAAGTGGGGAAACTTTGTGGAAAGTGCAGACTGATTTGTGTTTGCAAGCATGAGAGGAGATATTGTATTATGATTTGAACATGATGGAAAGCCTATGTTGCATGCACAGTCTTGTTTTGTGGAAAGAAAACATCCTTTACTGTTTTTTGACATAAAAAACAAACCACAGAAAACAAGTGCAGATTCAAGCCTGTATCAAATGGAAATCCAATGTATATGTAATGCATGTTGTAGCTTTTAATTATAATGTCATATAAAGTCTGGAGTTGTAAAAATATGCAAGTGCATACATATAGTAACATTTATATTTACATTTATGGCGTTTGGTAGACGCTCTTATCTCGAGTGATGTACAATTGTGATCATGTTGCCTAATGAGGTAAGTGAATGTAGTGTTAGGAGTCTAGCCCAATGACACTCAAGTAGTCACCAGTCTTCCACATTTTTATTTAGATATTGTCTCATTTGCATATCTGATGTAATTTTGGGAGAATTTTGGGAATCAAATACAAAAATACTTGTGTGAAGATCAACTGGCAAAGATTTATTGTGAGTTTTATTAAGTTACCCTATTCATTTGGTGCATATTGTCTACTGTAAACGACAATAGCGCCAATGTCTTAAACTTAGTCACTGGCTGTAACCTCACCTCTTTAATCTTTAACTCATTAATGTTGTTTTTTTTTAAATCAGTGGTCCCTCACCGGTCTCTTGTCAAGTAAAATTATCTTAAGTATAGTCAATAAATCTAATATTTCTCCTGTTGAGATTGTTGTAAGCTTATAAGATTGTCTAACTTATTTCTAGACATTTTTTACTTGTTTTAAATTTTATTAAGTGATCTCACTATATTGGCAGATGACTTTGCTTGTTTTAAGAAATGCACCTGAAACCAGCAACATTACCTTGTATATTGAGATAATTTTACTTAATAAAATTACCTAAAACAAAGTAAATAATATCCAGAAATGAGCTACATAATCTTATAATAAGTGCACAACCATTTCAAAATGGGAAATATTAGATATATTAACTAGATTTAAGATCATTTCCCTCAACAATATACCATTTTTTCCAGTGCGTTACTGAGAAATGTTTTTCTTTGCAGAACAGCATGCCTCTGCTCTCACAGATTTAAAAAATGTAGCATGAGAAAGGCCAACAGAGAGAGAACATAGTGTCCTCACTGCTGGACCGACCAATAGCCCCCATTATAAACTATTGATTCAAAGCAGAGTCTTGTTTATTGTTGTTTACTGTTTATTTGCTGTTTACTCTCCGTTTGCTCTGTGCCATTCGCTCGTGTGTCTCCCTCACCCTACCGGGGTCAGTTGGCTGCTTTCTCACGTGTGGATGTTTGGATGTTTGTAGTGTAGTCATGGAAACCAATGTGATCAAAGCTCTGTAATGTTCTTTTTCATCGTTTTCACCCTGAAGACTAATGACTTTACCACAGAGCAGCCCCTCTCCATTCACAGTCGCCCCACTGTGGGTCCCATTGCACCCCCCACTTCCCTCCCTCCTCAGGAATGCTAATGGGGAGTAAAGTTGCTGACTGGCGGAGGGAATGACGTTATTGTGGGGGAATCCCGTCTTTGGGATGAGAGAAGCCCCTCTTTTTACACAGAGCGGAAAGACGGTGTGGGTTTAGAGCCTCAGAGGGGATGGGGGGGTCATGTCTGAGGAAAAGTGAGGAAAACTCCTCCACACACACGCCTCTGTAATGACTTTACCTCTCTCTGTGTCTGTGCAGTTATGAGCTGTTGGTAGTAAATTGAGTCATTTTTCCTGTATAGAAAACACAAAATCTTCCAGAGGAAGGAATTATTCTACAATAGAGCTCCTCTTGAAGAGAAATTCCAGTCAAAATTTCTGCATAATCAAATGGCTGAGATGTAAAGTCATTCAGAGTGGTTTGGTGTGAAACACTCCATTCTAGAGAAATTTACTGAGTCAGAATTGTTTACAGTGGTGGTGATAGGAACCCGACATCCACCTCTAAAAGCTTCCTCACAGAAAGTTATTACATGAAATAGTTATAAATACACTGTCTGATGACTGAGACATTGTTTTGAGAAGATTTTGGCCTTAAACTCCATTCATGGTGGAGGGATACATAATATGCAGGGTGTTGTGAGGCAAAATAGTCCCAAAAGAAGACTTATTGTTTCAGATTTTCCACTATTTTATCATCATCAACATTGCATATAAAGCTCAGAAGACACGTGTAGGTTCGCTGGTGGTTTTGGATAGTAAATAAAATGTCTGTATTTGTGTTGTAGTCATGGCGACCCCTGGTTCCTATCACCACCACTGTAAAGAAATGTGAGTCTGTAAGTTCCTCTACAGTGAACCTTTGTGTGGTTCAGAATGTCTTCAAGTAAACAATATGTGCTTTGGTCCTCACAAAAAGGCAGACAGTGCCATTGGATAGGCTACTTTCCATATCAGAAAAGTTCTTCACAAATTGCTCAGATGTCTGTAGCTTAGTTTGAGCTGCTCACAGAGATGCAAGACAAACTAACACCAAAGTTCAAAGCATCTATATTTTTCCTGTCTTGCTTGTTTGTTGTCCAGCTTTCACACCCATAATGAACCACAGAGAAGACCACAGCCTGGACAGTTCTGATCTTTGTTTATAGAGACAGATCGTTCCATTTGAAGATCTTTTCTAGCTCCTTTATTCCTGTTCTGCCAAGCACCAATCTGTGTCTTATTTCTTGAGTGCTGGATCCTCTGTTGTTAATTGTTGTTAATTGATCCGAGCAGGCAAAAGCAAAGCTGTCCACCATTTTCCACACCTTCTCCATTAGTGGAAAAGTTCCTGTCATCATAACCT